CCACCAATAACACCACACCTCCCCATCCCGTCATTGCTCTGTCTTCATATCCCTCCTCCAAATGTCCTTCCTTAGGTCCCTCTTCTCCACACACTCCACTTCTGGCACTAACCCTCATCTTTTGTGTTTGTACAACCTTAGGTCAATCAGTTTCAGTTATAGAGTACAGACACTCAGTATATATTAAGTGGGGACATACAGTGTCTCCTTCACAACCTGGCTTGCTTCACTCAGCAGTAAATCTTCCATATTCTTCCACTTTCTGTCAAAAGCCAGGGTTTTGTTGGGTTTTATGGCTGAATAGTATTCCATAGAGTATATGTGCCACAGTTTTTCAATCCATTCATCATATGGGGGCATTTGGGTTGGTTCCATGTCTTAGCAATCGAGAATAGTGCCGCAATAAACATTGATGTGCAAGCAGTTTTCTAATGAAGAATTCTTTTGTCCTTTGGGTTGATATCGAGGAGTGGGACTGCTGGGTCATATGGTAGTTCTATTTGTAGATTTTTGAGGACTCTCCAAATTGTTCTCCACAGTGGCTGGACCAAATTTACATTTCCACCAGCAGTGTAAAAGAGTTCCCCTTTCACCACACTCCCACCAACACTTATCATTTTTTGGTTTTGTAATCTGAAACATTCTGACTGGGGTTAAGTGGTATCTCAATGTTGTTTTGATCTGCATTTCCCTTACAATGAGGGATGTGGAGCATTTTGATATTCACAATTTAAAATACAACCCAGAAGCATGGAGTAAACAACAACAAAAATAACAAAAAAAAATACTTTTAACATTAACATCTACTCTTCACAATGAAATTAATATTTTATGTCCCCAGATATATAGGTACAACCTTCGTAAGAAAGATACTATGAAAGATTTACGAGGAAAACCAGCCACACATGTAGGCCCCTAGGCTTGGCTCTAAGGAGGAAGTGGAAAGAATAAGACAAAGAGACAGAGTAACAATAGACACAGGCAGCCTGAGTTTAAGTAGCCTAAGCCAATTGTGCCACCCAGAATCCTGGGAGCCTTTATTTACAGGGCAAAGCAACATTACATATGTGTGTTTCATGACATTCCATAGATGTGTTGATTTGTTACAGAAAATAAGAAGCAGGTAACAAATCTATAAAGGCTTAGATATACTGGACCAGGTGTATCCCTTGGTGATAATCCCATCAAGAGGAAATCCCATTATCTTATTTTCTAATGGAGAGAAGCCTAGCTGCAGGTGTGAGGAAGAAACATAAGGCTAAAGAATCTCTCCATAAGGCAAGGCACCACCACACCCAGAAGAGGCTAAAGAGATTGGACTTTGTTAATTGGAGGTCAAGATGTTTCCTGAATTCCATCAGATGTGTCTATTGGAACACCCCTAGCAATTTCCACCCTTTGCTCGGCCTGCAGTGAGGGTCAAAGAAAGGACAAGTTGCAAGTTTCTGCCAAAGCCCAAAGGGACAGGTGGTGTTTGCTCAGAGCATGTCCCCACACCTCACTCAGGGCCTCTCTCTGAACATGTCCCTACAGTAGATAGTTTTAATATACAACTTTGCTCAAAATAGATCAAGAAGAAAAATAACTACAGATGTAGGAGACCTAAACAGCAAAATCAGTAAGATGACCTTTGTAGGCATTTACTCAACTTTCTGTTCTAATTAAAGAGTATCACTATCATTTCAAGGCACATTTATGAATATTGGCTATTAAGTCACAAAAATACTTCCATGCCACAGAGTGGTAATGATACAGCAATATTCCTAATCTTAATGTATTAAGCTATTAATGGAAGATAAAATAAAAATGCTCTTCTACCTGAGAGTTTTGAAATATTATTAAATAGTCATTGGGTAAAGGGAAAATACAAAGTAAAATGAAGTAAGTTCTAGAAAATAATTCTAATTACACTCTAACGACAAGGAGAAAATTCACTTTACACTTTAAACTCACATAATGTTAAAAAATTCTTGTAAATGATAATAAAATGCAAAAATTTAAAGGATTGAAAAAAGTATAACTCAGTAAAAATTTTGAAATTAAACTTAAAGATATTAAACTTAAAGATATTGGAATATTTTAAGAGTAGTAAATAAGTAAAAAGCTATGTTGTACACTGTACTCATATGTAGTAATTAAATGCAAATTAAAATAATAATAATAATAATTTTATTTTTTTGAGAGGTTTTTGCTATAGGGTGCATGCACTTGCCAGAAAGACAGAGAGAGAGAGACAGAAAGTGAGAAATCACTCCCCAGGGGGATGGCCATGCCGCAATCCCTTCTCCTCCACTCTCCTCTCTGGATCTTGGGCATACATGCACATGCGCCCGGTGTGAGTTTAAGCCACCAGGTCCGAGACTTGACCCACAGTTGACTACATGGGAGTTCAGTGACATAGCCATTACACTAACTGCTGGTCCTAATAATAATAATTTTAAATACCATCAAGAATCTTACTCTTTTCAGTGTCATCGAGGTGATTTAACTGTGGAGGGAACATCCAGACATAATTCTGTGTTATGAAATGGTTTGCTCTTGCTAGGCTTCCCATGCTCAGCAGCTATATTTTCAGCTCTCTGTCTTCTGCATAGAACCATGGCAATCATCTTTTTTTTTTTTTATTTTTGGATTCTATAATTTTTTCAAGAACTCACATTTGCTTGGGAACCAGCAGTTAGCGTAACGGCTATGTCGCTGGACTCCCACGTAGTCGACCGCAGTTCGCGTCCCGGACCCGGTGGCTTAAAACTCACGCCGGGCATGTGTGCATGCATGCCCAAGATCCCGAGAGGAGAATGGAGGAGAAGGGATTGCGGCATGACCATCCCCTCTGGGAGGTGATTTCTTGCTTTCTGTCTCTATGTCTCTCTCTGTGAAAACCTGTCAAAAATAAAAATAAAAATAAAAAACTGAAGGAGGGCAATACATTCTTTCACTAATACAAAATAAAACCAGAAATAAATATCAGCAAGAAAATATCTACTGTAAATAAATACTCCATTCCTAGAGTATATACTCCATTACAAGCCTGATTTATACACTTTTCTATAACAGTAATTGTGCTACAATGTAAAAAGTGTAGATAATATACTATCCTTCTCTTATAGATGCAATGCATTGTATGTGAGGATATGATTTACATTGTGTGCGTTATCTCAGTGGTCCCTGAGAACTTTTTTCTCTGATATTTAGGCATCTATGTTTTATGTTCAAGGATCCTTCTGCTAGGAAATGAAGGGCAGCAGAGCACAGTCATAGAGTACACCAAAGTTGTAGCCATTGAGACAGATAGTACCTGAAATGTGTTTCTTATTTAACTTATAAAAATTAAAATGAAGACTTAATCTAAAATTGATAAAAGGGAGACAAAAATAGGAACTGGAACAGTAATTAAGGAATATGAGAACATTGTTTATTATTTTATACACTTTGATCAGAAAATCTAAATAACATTGATAGGGGAGAACACAGTTACATTATACCATAGGAAAAATGTCACACATGAAATTTGAACTTCAGTTGTGTTCACCTTGATTTCAAGAGTATTGAGAAGACTGGGGACCAGTAGTTAGTGTAATGACTATGTCGCTGGACTCCCATGTAGTCGACCGCAGTTCACGTCCCAGACCCGGTGGCTTAAACTCACGCAGGGCACGTGTGTGTGCTGCCCAAGATCCCAAGAGGAGAATGGAGGAGAAGGGATTGCGGCATGGCCATCCCCCCTGGGGGGTGATTTCTCACTTTCTGTCTCTCTGTCTCTCTCTGTCTGTCTTGCTAGCACACGCTCCCTATAGCAAAAACCTCTCCAATAAAAAAAAGCAAAAACCTCTCAAAAAAAAAAAAAAAAAAAGCAAAGGAGTATTGAGAAGATGCAGCATATTTTGAGATATTCCAAGATGGTGAGTTATCTCAAATTCAGGGCACATGAATAACAGAAAGTTTCAGCTTGTTATCATCGCCGTCTTGAAGATCTGTGAACCAGGATTAGAGTTACTATAGGACATGAGAGACAGAATGTATAAAACCACAGACAGAGACAGCTGAACGGTGGGGAATCATAAAAGCTGAGTGCAGAATGCAGCAGGAGTGTGTGTCTTGGGATGTCACTGATATCTAGTCAGCGAAGGCTGGTTTCTCTGGGAGATACTGATGAAGAAATTTCTGCCCAAGGGAAAGGGAAAAGCAGATGACCATCAAAGTCCGAAGAGCAGATGACCATATTATACAGTGTGATGATATTATACAGTGTGATGATAAATTTGTAACTATGCAGGTCCCTCTTAAGAAATTCAATATGGAAGATCATATAGGCATCTTCAGTCTCATTCTTTTCCATTAATTTATGGAGGATATCTTCTATATTACATACGAGGTGGCTTTAAGAACTTGTCAGAAAAAGACATAACGCTATAACATTCTATACAGTTTGACATTTAATACCTGCCTTATTTCATATTATCTACTAAACAAAACAAAATCTCTGTGAAGTGGAAAATATAATTATATTATTTCTATCATCCATAAATTAAAATTTATGTGCAATAAAAAATCATAGCTAAAGTCATGACCTGACCCATGTCTAGTTTAAATTACCTAATTACTAGTAGAGTAATATTCTTTATTTGTGTCATATTATTTCTAAGCCATCTTCAAGACTGAATACTTCATTTTAAACAAAATATAAAGTCAAACAAAAAGCAGAATCTGAGGTTTTAGACAATCAAAAAAATTGGAGAACTAAAAACCTAAAGGAAGAAAAAAGGAGCAGGAGAGTTATCCTTTATTTCCAGATAATGTGTCTCCCTTAATCTGTAAAACAGGGATGAGAAAAAAAATTACTATCCTTGCTCTATCTAGAAAAATATTAAGGCTAAAAATGTCAGACAACTTCCCCAAGGCCACAGATTTAGACAGATAAATAGTTTAATATTTCTATGACTTAAGCAATTACCAAAACATTGGTCTAAATATGTATGTACTTTTGAAAATTGCTCTACTTATAAAGTCTTAAGTGAAAACCCAGTCTTGGCAATCATTTTCCAAATGGCCAACTGTACGTCTTTGTTCCTGAGGCTGTAAACCATGGGGTACAACAGTGGGGTGATGATGGTATAAGTCACTGTCACCAGCCTGTCTTTGCCTGATGTATATTTGGCTGAGGGCCGCAGGTAGACAAAGGAAGCACAGCCATAATGGACAATGACCACAATGAGATGGGAAGCACAGGTGGAGAAGGCTTTCTGCTTGCCTTCAGCTGATGGGATCTTCAGGATGGTGTGGACAATGAAGCCATAGGAGATGCAGATGAAGATCAGGGGCATCACAAGCACCAAGACCCCACAGATGAAGATAACCAGTTCATAGATGTAGCTCTCTGCAGAGGCGAGGCGGATGACTGGTGAAATGTCACAGAAATAGTGGTTGACCCTGCTGGAACCACAGAAAGGGAGACTGAAGATCAAAGTGGTTCCCATCAGAGATATTAGGAAGCCACTAACCATACAAGTTGCTGCCAGTTGTCCACACACCCTCCAGCTCATGAGAATGGGGTAGTGCAAAGGCTGGCAGATGGCAGCATAGCGGTCGTAGCCCATCACTCCTAGAAGCAGGCAGTTGGTGACAGCAAAACCGAGAAAAAAGAACATCTGGGTGGCACAACTCACAAAGGAGAGTGTCCTGAATACAGAAAGCAGGTTGATAAGCATCTTGGGCAGGATAACCATCGTGTAGAAGATCTCAGAGGTAGAAAGGATACCTAGAAAGAAGTACATGGGCGTGTGGAGGCTGTGATCTGAGAAGATAACTGAGATGATGGTGACATTTCCACTCAGGATGATCAGATAGAGGAAGAGAAAGACCACAAAGAGAACAAGCTGCAGTTCTCCGAGGCTGGAAAAGCCCAGAAGTAGGAACTCGGTGACACAGGAGGTATTGGCCATGAAGAACTGATCTCGTGGAATAAAGCCAAGATGACCAGTCCAGAGATCTGGAGAACTGAGAAATCAGGGAGACAACTCTCATGAAGTAGCTATTCCAGACTTTTTTCTTTTTTTTTACTATATAATAGGTATTATAGAGAAAAAGCAAATTATGAATTGATTAGAAATTATACTAAATCAATATGCTCCCAAACTGCAATTTTTCTGCAGATCACTTTAGCAGTAACTTTGAGGACATGTGTTCAGATGAGGGGTATAGTGGCTTGTTCAAATAAAGCCTATCTTTCAGGCCCCTTCCTCAGGGACTGACTTAAACTCCACTTAATCTTTTAGTAATTAAATCACAGAAAACCTTTTATCAACAGTGGTTATAATTTCAAGTTATGATACTTTTACCCTGATTTTTGATAAACATACCAATAATGAATAGCTTCAATATCTGAGGATTCACCCCTTACCTGCTTTTATTAATTTCTTACTAGGTTAAATATCCATATATGTGTGTTTGCACTTAAATAGCACAGTTCCCTTGCACAACTAATTTTATAGTCCATTTCCCTGAAGTAATTCACTAAAACTGATTTAGTTTTGTACTACTGCCACTGCCTTAGAACTAGCATCATGATTTGTCTATGAACTTTTAAAGAACAGTAGGTCTGATTATTGTATCGCAGAAAAGTCATTGATGTTCCACTTTCTCTGGGTTTTAGTAATCTCTAAAATCTAACTGTTTTACGACTAGTATTCTAAGTTTATGTTTGACCCAATTAAAAAAAAAATTTACCTTATACCAGAAAATATATCTCCAACATATAAATACTACTGAATATATGCTAAGTGCTTGAAAACTTATTGAATAAATAAATGAACAATGATCCCTAGTTTCCCCTTCTAAATCTTTCAGGTGACATTTAATTATCCAAATATTTTCCACCTTATTGCCTTAATAGTAATCTAGCATTTAAAATTAGCTATCTGCTTCAACATTTTGGGATCAAAATTCTGACATTATTCTCTAAATACAGAGCAAAAAAATCTAGCAAAAATTGCTGTTATCTCATTTTCATTTTGGATTTTTAAGTTATCTCCTCCATTATCTCACTACCTAAACTTAGTTTTAAAAACACTTTAGACTTTTAAGTTCTTTGCAAATAACTAATTGCTGTTATTATTTATTTTTCTGCTTAGTCAAAGTTTTAATAACATTTAGAAATGGAACTGGAACCAAGAAGTTAACTATTTCCATGAATCTTTGAGATACCTTATCTCTTATAAGGAATATACACTATGCATTTGGCAAAGCCCCAGCTAGTATTCTTCATACAACATCATGTCCATCTTTGCACTTTTATCACTTACTTTCTTTGAGTATTTTCTTTTTAAAAGGTTCATAACCTGTATCAGCAGCAACTAGAAATGCTAAGAAAGTTACAGTTCTTGAAAGAAAATAAATATCCCGTTTTTCAATAACAACTCCATAAGCTCCTAGCCCATAAACCATCCGCTTTCCAAATTCATCCTGGGAATCTATATAAAAGTAAAATTTGAAAATAAAATTTTTATGAAAAGCTTTTATTTAACTTAACTCATTCTAAACACTAAGAAAAATAGAAGAGAGGAGTTAGTGTCTTGAGCCTTAAGGGAGGGTATTAGTATTATAGTTTTACTGACAGAAGAAGAATGGAGAAACAGAGAGAATTGAAGGAATGGAAAGAAAAAAAGAAAGAAAGAAAGAAAGAAAAAGAAAGAAAAAGAAAGAAAGAAAGAAAGAAAGAAAGAAAGAAAGAAAGAAAGAAAGAAAGAAAGAAAAGAAGGAAAGGAGAAAGAAAGAAAGAAAGAAAGAAAGAAAGAAAGAAAGAAAGAAAGCAAGCAAGCAAGCAGGAAAGAAACAAGACAGAAAGAAAAAAGAAAAAGAAAGAAAAATAAAGAAAGAAAAAGGAAGAAAGAAAGAAGAAAGGAAAGAAAGAGAAAGAAAAGGAAAGAAAGAAAAGACAAGACAAGAAAAAAGAAGGAAGGAAGAAACTAAAAAGAAAGGAAAAAAGAAAGAAAAGAAGAAAAAGGAAGAAAGAAAGAAAGGAAAAGACTATAAAGAATAGATAAATTAAATGACCTTTTAACCAGTAGAAATAATGAACTGAGAGAGCCAGTTGATGAGCATCTTGGGCAGGATAACCATTGAGTAGAATATCTCAGAGATAGAAAGGATACCTAGAAAGTAGTACGTGGGTGTGTGGAGGCTGTGATTCAAGAAGATAACTGAGATGATGGTGACATTTCCATTCAAGATGATCAGATAGAGGAAGAGATAGACCACAAATAAAGTAAAATTGCAGTTCTCCAAGGCTTCCTTAAGCTGAATAATAAGAGCTGATTCTCTGTCCCTGGCTACATTTACAACTTCATTGTCTAGATCTTCATCATGCAGGAATTTCACCGAAATGCTTAGTTACCTCTATACACTTTTGTGTTTCAAGGACCATAGAGAGAGAAATCTCAGTGCCACAGTATCTTTTCTCTTTATTTGTGGCTCACTCATTCTTCACATAATTATAAGTCACCAAGCATTGAACTTTTGATGTGTGTAGGTAGAGTTTTCCATTCTCTGTGTCTGAGTAGATTCAAAGTTTGTGTCTTCTATCTTTATCCAAATAGTTTATATGTTATTTCCAAATTGTATGTTTCCTATCTTTCCTTTTGAAAGTCCTAAGGATAAAGACTATGCCTTATCCTTTTTGTATCCTCAAAACTTAACCCAGTTGTGAAATAAACAAAAGTAAGCACTTGATGAATAAATTAATGAAATCATTCATTTATAAGTTAATAACAAGTGCAATTAGTTCATTTTATAACAGCCTGATCCCCTGTGTACCACCATGTACCTATTAAGTGAAAATATTTTCTGTATTCCTCGTAAATTATGTGTTCACTATCATTTTGGTTTTCTTCCTTTCTAAAACTAATACTGCAACTTTACAATGAAATAATCAAGACTTATTCTCTGTCCCTGCCTTCTCCTTGACATTGGTCTCACTCTTTATTCTTATATTTTCTCACTATCCTACCATCCTTTCTGTCATTTGATTATATTTCCTATTTTCAACTACAAAAACACAGTTAGTTAAAAAGTGGAATTCAAATACAAGTTTATCTTCATGCAAAAAAAAATGCAATCCAGGCATATATTTTTTTCATAATACACATTTTTCATGAACTTTTGAACATGCTCCTGTAACTAGTGATAAAAAGAACGCTAGCCCTCGGGACCAGCAGTTAGCATAATGGCTATGTCGCTGTACTCCCATGTAGTTGACCGTGGTTCGAGTCCTGAACCTGGTGGCTTAAACTCATGCCAGGCACATGTTTGTGCATGCTCAAGATTCCAAGAAGATAATGGAGGAAGGGATTGTGATGTGGCCATCCCACCTGGGAGGATAGTTTCTCGCTTTCTGCCTCTCTGTCTCTCTCTATCTTTCTGGCGAGCGCACGCGCCCTGTATAAAAAAAAAAATCACTAGCCCATGGAGAAACTCAATAATATTCAAATAAATGAGTAGACTGTCCCTGCTCTTCTCAATAAGAAACTCAAAGTTTCAAAATGAAAATTAAAATTTCGTATTCTTGCAAATCAGATTTCCAGTGCCCATGGCATGTTTCAGAAGCATCTGTGCAGGCTTCTAGGTGAAAAGGGCCAAAGTTGTCTTCCTTGACATGATGCCTCAGAGTTCTCTGTTCAAGAACCTCCTTGACCAGATAATAAAAGTATTCCATACTATTCCATAGAAAAATACCACCTGTGCCATTTCTCCATGGGTAGTTCAAATATTTCTTCAATGTCACCAATGGTCTTTCCTTTTTACATTAACCATGGCATCAATGCCTTGGTGGATAATTGAGATCTTGAACTCCATTGGGAGCTAATTACCACCTTCTGCCCAGTGCTCATTCAAAATTTCCACAATTAGAAAGCAGAATTTTGATAATGCACTATGAGAATTGAGTGGCCAAAAGAAGTCTCTTTCTAATATACCATGAGTATTCACTGACTTCCTTATTGAAATTCTTCCGGGACATAGAGAAGTGGAAGTTTTCCATTTGTTAAAACAGACGTTAGTGAGATCACCTCCTTTGAATTTCTTTACCTAATATTTCTACCTTTACATTCTCAAGTTAGAGAAAAGATATTTTACATTCCCATTTCTCAAAGCTATTTTACATTCCCATTTCTCAAAGCCAGAAGAGAAGGAGAAGAATAGAAGATAGAGTGTTAGAATAGAAGAGGCAGTGTAAGTTTTCAGACACTTAGGAAACATGTTTGTTTCTGGGGTTTAATGTGAGTTTGGTATATATTTGTTCACTAAATTTAAAGACTTGGGCATGGAGAAAAATGAGGTTGTGACATGCAATAAGTTTCGAACTATAACACCATACAGAGCCCAACAGCTTTCTTCCCAATTCAGGTTTATATATGTATTATTTGTGTTTTTCTTTTTTAAGAAAAGTTTTTGCTATAGTATGTGAGCACTCACTAGAAAGAGATTGAGAGAGAGAGAAAGTGAGAAACTGCCCTCCTCCCACCCACATAGCTACTCCACAATCCCTTCTCCTTTTTCCTCTAAGGATTTTGGGGCATGCACACACATGCTGTTGGTGTTTCTTTACATTTCCGGGTTCAGATATCAAACCACAGTCGGTCATGTGGGATACAGCACTTTAACCATGAATCTAAGTAGTAGTCTGAATGACTATTTTGACCAACAGTGCATGGCAAAAGTTATGCTATGTTAGTTCATAAACCATGGTCACTAGAGTCCTGTAGCTTCTGCTTCTTCTCTCTTGGAACATCTTCTTTTGTACCCTAATCACCATATTTTAAGGAAGCCCAAGAAGCCCTTTTGTGAAAAATCAAGGCTCCTGGTCAACAACGAGAGCTGAGTAAAATGGTCAATAGCTGACCCGAACTCACCAGGTACACAAGTGAGCAATCCTGAAAGTGAACTTATC